GAAGAACCACCCCTGAGAAATCCATCAACTTTTCATGCGAGAGCTCACTTCGGTTCTAGAGGTAGATATAAAGGTAGAAATCAGCGATATAGAAACCCCCCTCAAAGTTTTTCTCGGCAATATACAAATAGTAATCAGTATCGCGGATATCAAAATTCAAGGAATAATTTCAGACCATCAAATAGCTTTCGTGGAAATAATCGTCGACCTAGTACTAGTACCTATAGAGGCTCTGCAAGAGGACATGTGTACTATTCCGAAACTGTTCAGAATAACTCTAATAACAACCAAAATCTTAATGACATTCAAAATCAATCTGACAATAATTTAGAAAAATTTTTTCGTAACTAATAAAGATGAAATAGTAGTAAGTTACAATTTAAACGGGTTAAATTATGTAAATTTTAGGAGTAATAATAAATGTTTTTCATTTTTAATTGACACGGGAGCTTCTGTCAGCATATTTTTTCAAGAATTTTTAAATGACGATCATGTAATAAATCCATTAAATAAACTTGAGGTTAAAGGCATTAGCGGTTCAGTAACTTCGCTTGGATCAGCAGATATCCTTTTACAAATTAATAACGAAAAATGTATAACACATCAGTTTATAGTAATTAATAATCCAAATTGTCAATTTCAGGGAATATTAGGATCAGATTTCTTTTTCAAATATTTTGCCACAATAAATTACGAAACATTTTTACTATCTCTTTGGATTGACAATGTTAAAGTTTCTGTACCCATTAACTCAGATGCGTCAGTATACACAATTTTACCAACTCGATGCGAAACAATTAAGTATTTTCCAGTTAACTTAAAAGGAGATTTAGTTGTACTGAACGAGGAAATAGGTGATGGTGTTTTTGTTGCAAATACTGTAGTTAAGGTCAATAACGATAATAAAATACCAGTTAGAATACTAAACACTAACGATCAAAACATTAAATTAAAAAATTTTGTTCCAAAAGTTGAAACTCTAGAGAATTATAATATATGCAACATTCAAACTAATAAAGCTTCAATAGTGAATAGGGCAGATACTTTGCTAGATTTAATAAGAATGGATCATTTAAATGCGGAAGAAAAACTAACATTACAAAGAGTGTGTGCAAAATATTCCGATGTTTTTCATTTAGAACATGATACTTTGGGTGTTACTAATGTTTACAAACAAAAGTTATATTTGCAAAACTCAGTAACTCCATCTTACGTAAAACCATATCGCCTCCCTCATGCCCAAAAAGATGAAATTCATAAACAGGTCAATAAAATGCTAGAAGACGGTATCATTGAGGAAACTCGATCAGAATGGTCAGCACCTTTGCTCATTGTTCCAAAAAAGGAAGATAAAAATGGTAACAAAAAATGGCGTGTAGTTATAGACTACCGATTATTAAACAAAAAGATTGAAGATGATAAATATCCATTGCCTTCTGTCTTAGAAATAATAGATTCTTTATCAGGTGCAATGTACTTTTCTCATCTTGATTTATCACAGGGGTACTACCAAGTAGAATTGGATCAAGCTAGCAGACCGTATACAGCTTTTAGTACAGATAGAGGTCAATTTCAGATGACGAGATTACCAATGGGACTTAAAGTTAGTCCTAGCGGTTTTAGTCGTGCAATGACTATAGCAATGTCAGGTTTAACATATGACATATGTTTTGTTTATCTTGATGATCTGATTGTTTTTGGAAATACATTACTAAATCATAATAAAAATCTTGTAAAAGTACTTCAAAGGTTAAGAGAGGTTAATTTAAAGCTTAACCCAAATAAATGTGAATTTCTTAAAAAAGATATTGTTTATTTAGGTCATAACATATCCGCTGAAGGAATTTCACCGGATCAGTCAAAAGTCGAAGTAATAAAACATTATCCCGTTCCCAAAGATGCTAATGACACAAAAAGATTCGTCGCATTCGTAAACTACTATAGACGTTTCATTAAAGATTTTGCTCATATAGCTGCACCTTTGAATCATTTAACACGTAAAGGTGTAATCTTTAAATGGGATAGCGCGTGTCAAGACGCATTTGATAAATTAAAAGCCACCCTTATCTGTCCACCTATACTACAATATCCAAATTTTTCCAAGGATAACACTTTTATTTTAAAAACAGATGCTTCAGGTTATGCTGTTGGTGCTATTCTTTGTAATGGTGATGACAGACCTGTAGCGTATTGTAGTCGTAGCCTTAATAAATCCGAGAAAAATTACAGTACAATCGAAAAAGAACTAACAGCAATTGTATTTGCGGTAAAACATTTTAGACCTTATCTATTCGGAAGGAAATTCCAAATATTTACTGACCATCGACCACTTGTTTATTTGTTTAGTATGACTAATCCTTCCAGTAGATTAACGAAATTCAGATTAGTTTTAGAAGAATATGATTTCGATATTCAATATATAGTAGGAAAAAATAACGTGGCAGCAGATGCTTTGTCCCGCATAGAAATTTCTTTAGATCAACTTAAAAGTATGACAGATAACGCAGTAAATGTAAATGTTATAACTAGAGCTCAACAAAAGAAACTCACCAGTGATCTTAAGGATAAAATTAGCAATCATTTACAAGAAAGGATTGGCCACCCTGGTATTGTAGAAATGTTAAAATGTCCTGAGAATTCCACTGAATTAAAGTTATTAAACATTAATCAAATTAATAAAATAATAAAAGGAAAAGAATACGTAAAATTTAAAGACTTTATTTATGTAAAACAGTTAAAAACTCTTTTTATGATTGATAATACCCGATCAGCGTTGACATTAGGTACATCGCTGGGGGATTTAAAGAAAATATGCATGCAAGAAAAAATAGAAGAGTTAGTAATTATAAAAGACAGCGCGCGAGAAAATCTATTAAAAGAACTATTAAAACTATCTCATGAGATGATAAAAAGATTAGGTATAAAGATAACAGTTGTAAAAGGTAAACAAAGTGTACACGATTTAGAAACTAGACAACTTATCATTAACGACTATCATATGCTTCCTACTGGCGGACATGCGGGCATAAACCGGACATACAATAATATAAAAAAATGTTACGCATGGCCAGGAATGCAAAAAGACGTTGAAAATTTCATTAAACGTTGCGATGATTGTCAACGTTATAAATACCCGAATTGTAAAAAACATCCATTAACAATTACGACAACAGCTTCCTCTGCTTTTGAGAAAGTATTTCTAGATTTAGTAGGACCACTAGAAGTAGATGAAGAAAATAAACGTTATATATTAACATTGCAGTGCGATTTAAGTAAATACGTTGAAGCATATCCAATTGAAAATAAAGAAGCTATAACAGTTTCTAAAGCATTCGTCCAAAATTTTATTCTAAGATATGGGATACCATCAGAAATAGTAACGGATCAGGGTACTGAATTTCTATCAGAAACTTTTAAAGAAACTTGTAAAATTTTAGGAATCACTCACTTGAATGCTACAGCATATCATCATCAGACGTTAGGTGCTCTAGAAAATTCGCACAAAAGTCTAGGTAGCTATTTGAGAATGCAGATAAGTAAAAACGTAAACTCGTGGAGTTCATGGGTTTCATTTTGGTGTTTCTCTTACAATAATACAGTTCATACTGAAACAAAATATACACCTCATGAACTCGTATTTGGAAAAACTTGCAAATTGCCTTCATCTATTCTAGAAACCATTGAACCTTTATATAATTTTAGTGATTATCCTTTAGAATTAAAATACCGATTGCAAAATGCATGGTCAGACGCGAAAAATAATTTAATTCAGTCGAAAGCAAAACGTAAAGAACATTATGATAAGCAGTGTAAACCAATTAATTATAAGAAAGGTGATCAAGTGTTACTTAAAAATGAAAGTGGTAATAAAATGGATTGTTTTGTTTATATAAAGGACCTTATGAAGTAAAAGAAGATAAATTTTCAAACGTTGTGTTAGAAAAAGACAGTAAAGTGATTACAGTACATAAAGATAGAATAAAACGTTATTACCAAAGCACTTAAAAATTATATTTTAGTTCTAAGTAAAGTTGTGTATTTTAAAATAGAAAAATAAAAATAAAGGGTTTATGTTAAGTTTTAGGGTAACAATAGGAATTTAGCATTTAAGTTAGTATAAAAAAAAAAAATTGTAAAATGTTTAAAATTTTTTTTTTCCTTCCCCAGGGAGATGTAGTGTATCCAAATTCATTATTGTTTAAGTAAATTACAAAACGTTTAACTATAAAATGTAGGCTCACCAACTTAATTAATAAGTATCAGGTTATCGTCCGTTGAACCGTATTACCGTGGTAAGCATTATTGCTGTACTACTTTAAAATTGATTACGCTTTTGTAATCATCAGAATTGTACGAACCTTTGGGTAAAATACATTAACATGTAGTTGGGAAGAAACTCTTTTATTCAAAAAAACCTAAAACCCTTCAACGATACCACAATATTGTATCTGTTCGTTCCTAAAATTAGTTGCTAGTCTATATTCGTTATCACCGTTTAGTCATCATTCAATAAAAACTTTGTACCAAAATATTTATAAGCCTGGAAGGCGTTTTGAAGATATTGGAAAAAAGTAATTTTTTGCTCAACTTTGAAGTGGGTAAACAAAACTACTTGGTACACTTGGGACACATCTAATACGCTAAATAAAAATCTGCTCACAAAACTCATTTAAAGAATTCTTTTTGCATATATTTTATAAATAATGTATAGATTTACGTAATAATTGTAGTGCATTGATTTTTCGTGATTCCATGAGTTGTGAAATGATGATTGGGAAGACGTTTACTACGACGTTTTGATTTATAATATTAAATAAGATCTTCTGCGGTTCTAACTTCTCTAATGCTAAAATATGAATGAATGTCATAAATATTGATACGATATGGAAAATGACCACACAGAAAATCAAACACGCTATGCACACGAATGACCTGTTGACCTATATTGTGCGAAAAACTGAATATATAGATAATGAATTGCTGCAATCTATTTTATTTTACATACTATACTGTTCCATTCACAGCTTTAAGAAAGAAAATCAAAAATGTTTCTTGAACTATACAACAAATATAATTATGAACTGGCAGGTAATGAAAAGCTTATTGGAATTACTTTTTTAAATTACTTAATTTTTAAATTTTTAACATTTAATTATTAATTACTTAACATTTAAATTACACTGTTTTAGATCCGAGGACTAACGATTTTTTGCTTATGACGTCACCATTTAAAGTGCTTGCAATACTATCACTTTATCTATGGTTTTGCTTAAAGGCCGGTCCTCATTTTATGAAGGATAGAAAACCATTTCAATTAAGACAAACATTAGTAGTTTACAATTTAATTCAAATTATTTTAAGTGCATTCTTTTTTAAAGAGGTAAGTATGTTAGCATAAATAATAAATATATTAAAAAATGTATTCTTTTTGTTAGACTCTCATGATGTTCTTATACGAGTACGACCTAAGATGCATTCCTTTAGATTATTCAGTAAATCCAAAGACGACATATTTATGCTTTCTAGGTCATATATGTTTTTTATCAAAAATATCTGAACTTCTAGATACTGTCTTCTTTGTGCTACGGAAAAAATATTCACAAATTACAACATTACATTTATATCATCACACTATTATGGTTGCTATTGGTTGGGTTGTACTTAAATACATGGCAGGTAAATTTATGTTGTAACAGAATTTGGCTTAAATTATTATAATAATAATAATTCTATTGATATTAGGCGGTCAGGCAGCATTTATTCTATTAATTAACTCATTTGTACACATAGTAATGTACACATATTATTTATTAGCTGGATTAGGACCCAAGTTTAAAAAGTATTTAACATGGAAGAAGCAAATTACGCAATTACAATTGGTACTATATGTCTACTGCTTTTACTGTAATATTCTTCTAATAACACATTTCAGGTTCAATTTGTAATAATATTGATATACAATCTACAAGCTTTACCCAGGGAATGTGATTATCCAAAAATGATGCATGTATTTCAAATTGTGGAAAGTTTAATTTTTATATACATGTTTTCATCGTTCTATGTCAAGGCTTATAACACAAAAAAGCCGATAGATTCAATCAACGCATCAAGTAAGAAAGTTTGTGAAGTCAAGAGTAGTTAATATAGTATAATTTCCATTAACGTTGTATGGACTTCAAATGTTATGGAATAAAAAATTGATGTAATTTTTGTATAATTTCTTCGCTTGTAATCATGGCGCTGGAATCAGTATCATATCGACACATAGTTAGTCAGCTTTTGACTTGTCATTTTGTCTGATAGCATTGTAACAGAAATATATAATTTTTCATATCCTTCCTATTATACTAAAGCTCAAATTGAACCCTCACCTCCTTAATCTTCGACCTTTAATCCACTGTGGATGACAATACAGAAATTAATAATTGATGCGGCAATGGATTCTACTGACAGTAGACGAGTTAATATTAATACAAGAGCTCCCCCTCACAAGAGAACTATAGGGTATACATTGAAACAAGAAACAATATGAACGCATCAATAAGAAAGATTAATACGGAGTGCTGGGCCAAATTTACTTATGATACAAATCAAGACTTATAGGGAGCCCAAAGAAAAATTTTAAGATGCTCGAAGCGATTTTAAAAGTAATTTAATGTCTTTTAAATTACATATTTTCCAAAAAGCTGTGTTTCTGAGTGAATGCTGAAATATTCTTGTCCGAACCTCGTAATGATAAATTTACATGCTATATCCCGTATTTTATCATTACGTACGATTCCTAACCATATAGTCATACAAAACGTTTCAAACTAACTTTCATTTCTAATCCCCATTCTTCGACTTTTCCACAAGAACCCTCTTCTCTACAAAGCTACTAACACTTTTTACTACCATTTACTACCATCACTTTCCTCGCATAAAAAGTTGCTTCAAAATTTGATATTCCTTCTACGGTAATCATTGCTTATCAGCCAAAGGTATTACTTAGAAATGGGATATAAAGCCGAACAGTCTCAAGTTGCCTCTGCAAAGGTGAAAACCAAAATACATGAAATGGTTATTTCATTGAGTTATATTTAGACTTCATAAATAAGCATAGATATAGATTCATCATACTTAATGAGTTCAATGCTAAATATGTCCACTAAGGAAATGGGTTTACTAAACAACAGGAAAAGAGTTTCTTCAAGCAGCCACTTAACTAAGGTGCGAAACATTATCATCTGGCAAGATAACCTATTGACTTATAGACCCCAATAAAATCCCTGATTTAATTAATTTATTCATAGCCAAAATATATCAGCTAACTATATGCAGGTGGAAGAAGCTTGGGATATAACTCTATACTCTGACCATACTCCAATCTTACTCAGGCTCAGCTAGATAATGAAGTGGAATTATTTGTTGCAGCTATCCAACAATCTGAATAAGTTTCCAGATAGTCTAGATATCGCGCTCGATACTCTAGACATTATTGGAAGAATCGAATTTAATAACTACCCCAAAGAAGCTAGAGAACTTATTCCTGAAATAAATAATGTCAGTGACTACCTAACCAAACTGTCAAATAATTGTAAAACTGACTATTTACTCAGGAGAGCTACGTGGGTAAAAAGTAATACACAAGAAAGCTACTATTACGTTGAATATCTCGTAGAGACTTCCAAATTTTAAAAAACTTCCCACGTAAAGCAATTTCAATACAAATTAAGCGAACTCTTACAAAGGTAGTGTTCATGCTTGCTGAAGTTTGATATCGCAAATCGAGCTTTGAGGGTAAATCAGGAAAACGCTTACTCTGAACCTAAAGCCATTAACGCAAGAGTACTACAAGGCAGTGTACTAGGGTCAGTCCTACATCTACTATATACCAGTGATACTGCTGAAGGCCATTATCAAATTAGCCAAGAGTCAGAAACAACGACTGCATCATCACATTAATGCCGAAGCCATCTAAATCCTCGACAATGCGAACCAGATCAGAACACTCAAAAGGATTAAATCCTTTGAGATTTTATAATTTGTATTAATACAAAAGTAGAATATAGTGAGAGTATTATTCATTGATCAGACTAATGATCAGATTGTAATATAAATGAAACGAGAAGGAAAAGATACCTTAAACTAAGATTAGAACTAAAACTAGAAACTTTCGGGTTTTGCCGTGTGTCTTTTAATAAAAGGTTTGACGTTTCGGATGCCATGTTGCAACCTTCTTCAGAAACTGGTTCGAAGTGACGAGATCAAAAAATCGGTAACTATATATAAGTCGGAAAAACTAATTAATAATCAGTTAACGCTAATTACAAANCAGCAGATATCCTTTTACAAATTAATAACGAAAAATGTATAACACATCAGTTTATAGTAATTAATAATCCAAATTGTCAATTTCAGGGAATATTAGGATCAGATTTCTTTTTCAAATATTTGGCCACAATAAATTACGAAACATTTTTACTATCTCTTTGGATTGACAATGTTAAAGTTTCTGTACCCATTAACTCAGATGCGTCAGTATACACAATTTTACCAACTCGATGCGAAACAATTAAGTATTTTCCAGTTAACTTAAAAGGAGATTTAGTTGTACTGAACGAGGAAATAGATGATGGTGTTTTTGTTGCAAATACTGTAGTTAAGGTCAATAACGATAATAAAATACCAGTTAGAATACTAAACACTAACGATCAAAACATTAAATTAAAAAATTTTGTTCCAAAAGTTGAAACTCTAGAGAATTATAATATATGCAACATTCAGACTAATAAAGCTTCAATAGTGAATAGGGCAGATACTTTGCTAGATTTAATAAGAATGAATCATTTAAATGCGGAAGAAAAACTAACATTACAAAGAGTGTGTGCAAAATATTCCGATGTTTTTCATTTAGAACATGATACTTTGGGTGTTACTAATGTTTACAAACAAAAGTTATATTTGCAAAACTCAGTAACTCCATCTTACGTAAAACCATATCGCCTCCCTCATGCCCAAAAAGATGAAATTCATAAACAGGTCAATAAAATGCTAGAAGACGGTATCATTGAAGAAACTCGATCAGAATGGTCAGCACCTTTGCTCATTGTTCCAAAAAAGGAAGATAAAAATGGTAACAAAAAATGGCGTGTAGTTATAGACTACTGATTATTAAACAAAAAGATTGAAGATGATAAATATCCATTGCCTTCTGTCTTAGAAATAATAGATTCTTTATCAGGTGCAATGTACTTTTCTCATCTTGATTTATCACAGGGGTACTACCAAGTAGAATTGGATCAAGCTAGCAGACCGTATACAGCTTTTAGTACAGATAGAGGTCAATTTCAGATGACGAGATTACCAATGGGACTTAAAGTTAGTCCTAGCGGTTTTAGTCGTGCAATGACTATAGCAATGTCAGGTTTAACATATGACATATGTTTTGTTTATCTTGATGATCTGATTGTTTTTGGAAATACATTACTAAATCATAATAAAAATCTTGTAAAAGTACTTCAAAGGTTAAGAGAGGTTAATTTAAAGCTTAACCCAAATAAATGTGAATTTCTTAAAAAAGATATTGTTTATTTAGGTCATAACATATCCGCTGAAGGAATTTCACCGGATCAGTCAAAAGTCGAAGTAATAAAACATTATCCCGTTCCCAAAGATGCTAATGACACAAAAAGATTCGTCGCATTCGTAAACTACTATAGACGTTTCATTAAAGATTTTGCTCATATAGCTGCACCTTTGAATCATTTAACACGTAAAGGTGTAATCTTTAAATGGGATAGCGCGTGTCAAGACGCATTTGATAAATTAAAAGCCACCCTTATCTGTCCACCTATACTACAATATCCAAATTTTTCCAAGGATAACACTTTTATTTTAAAAACAGATGCTTCAGGTTATGCTGTTGGTGCTATTCTTTGTAATGGTGATGACAGACCTGTAGCGTATTGTAGTCGTAGCCTTAATAAATCCGAGAAAAATTACAGTACAATCGAAAAAGAACTAACAGCAATTGTATTTGCGGTAAAACATTTTAGACCTTATCTATTCGGAAGGAAATTCCAAATATTTACTGACCATCGACCACTTGTTTATTTGTTTAGTATGACTAATCCTTCCAGTAGATTAACGAAATTCAGATTAGTTTTAGAAGAATATGATTTCGATATTCAATATATAGTAGGAAAAAATAACGTGGCAGCAGATGCTTTGTCCCGCATAGAAATTTCTTTAGATCAACTTAAAAGTATGACAGATAACGCAGTAAAGGTAAATGTTATAACTAGAGCTCAACAAAAGAAACTCACCAGTGATCTTAAGGATAAAATTAGCAATCATTTACAAGAAAGGATTGGCCACCCTGGTATTGTAGAAATGTTAAAATGTCCTGAGAATTCCACTGAATTAAAGTTATTAAACATTAATCAAATTAATAAAATAATAAAAGGAAAAGAATACGTAAAATTTAAAGACTTTATTTATGTAAAACAGTTAAAAACTCTTTTTATGATTGATAATACCCGATCAGCGTTGACATTAGGTACATCGCTGGGGGATTTAAAGAAAATATGCATGCAAGAAAAAATAGAAGAGTTAGTAATTATAAAAGACAGCGCGCGAGAAAATCTATTAAAAGAACTATTAAAACTATCTCATGAGATGATAAAAAGATTAGGTATAAAGATAACAGTTGTAAAAGGTAAACAAAGTGTACACGATTTAGAAACTAGACAACTTATCATTAACGACTATCATATGCTTCCTACTGGCGGACATGCGGGCATAAACCGGACATACAATAATATAAAAAAATGTTACGCATGGCCAGGAATGCCAAAAGACGTTGAAAATTTCATTAAACGTTGCGATGATTGTCAACGTTATAAATACCCGAATTGTAAAAAACATCCATTAACAATTACGACAACAGCTTCCTCTGCTTTTGAGAAAGTATTTCTAGATTTAGTAGGACCACTAGAAGTAGATGAAGAAAATAAACGTTACATATTAACATTGCAGTGCGATTTAAGTAAATACGTTGAAGCATATCCAATTGAAAATAAAGAAGCTATAACAGTTTCTAAAGCATTCGTCCAAAATTTTATTCTAAGATATGGGATACCATCAGAAATAGTAACGGATCAGGGTACTGAATTTCTATCAGAAACTTTTAAAGAAACTTGTAAAATTTTAGGAATCACTCACT